TTCCTGGGCGTGCGGGACTTTCGACTCGGGTCGCTCGTGCTCCAACTTTGTTGCTGTGCGGTCGTCTATGGCCTGTAAGATTCGCGAAAGTGTCAAGCTTGCTGATGCAGCCACGAGAAGCACACCAAGCTTGAGGTCTTAACTAACCTACAGTCTCTAGCCTACAGAAGCTCATTCTGCCGTGGATGGCTTAGAGAACTTAAGAGGGAAGTCAATCTGCCAAGAACCTGAGGTGCATGCTAACCTAATGGGCTCTCGAGATATTACACCCTTATTGAGTCCATCACAAAGCATATCTCTGGTGTCACACCAAGCAAGTGCGCTGACTTCGTGCCTCAACAGCTGGCGCAATGCAAGCAAATGCAGCAAGGCTGCACTGTCCGTACAGCGAGCCTCCTCTGAGGTGGCCCCTAAAAACACTGCCATAGCATCGATCACCAAGGTCAACTGAAGTGCGTTGTTCATCTGCTCCTGCTTCTTTATCAGTTCAACTGCGGACTGACATCCCTGCAGCACCTCGGTGATTCCACTGTTGATCGTGATCGCGAGACCACTCAAGTCAACGGCACTTAACAACTCAGCCATGTAAGTGCTGCGGCAAACGCGGGTTTGCTTCCGACATACGAATTCTAAGATCTGAAGCGCATTGGTACCTTGACTTGGACCTTCTCTGTCGGTAAGTGCAATTATGCCCGACCTCATCGCGAGATGATCCTGTCCTTCACCCTTGAAGCTGCTATCGCTTATTGCGACAAGTCTCCACGGATGGCTCAACTTCTTGTATCTTAGACACAGAGGCTTAAGCTTCAGATACTTCAGTACACGATTTAAGTTTACAAGGTCTTGCACACGCGGGTTCTTTAAACGGCGCTGTAGAGCTGCCACATACACGGATATATCGGGTCTAGTCTGAGTGCACCATGCTACTCCGCCTAACAGAGACATAAACTTTTGTGCCAACTCGGGACTGACAAGGTCATCTGCAGACGTAGCTTTAAGTGATGCCTCGGCGATGGGACGAAGTTCGGAAACATAGTGTTCCTGCGACACTGTCCTGCTTCCATCGGCCTCAAGTTTGTGTCTCAACCCTAAATGCTCGAAGTTGTCAGTTTCAAGCTTAAGGGCATCAAACTCTTCTTCTAACACCCTTACAGTGCGCGCTATCTCTGTCGGCAATCCCGTTATCTTAAGATCGTCTACATGCACCGAAAGAAGCAATATCAGACGGCCCTCTGCATGCAGAACGTACAACTGCGGATCGACGTTGGTTGGCCTCAAGCCAACTTTCTTCAGCACGCGCTTGAGTGCCAGATTCCACAATCTTGGAGCATCCTTCAGTCCAAATCCCGGCTTCAACAGATGTAGCACTTCTGTTTCTGGATTGAAGTTTTCAAGGCCTGGGACAGCCCTGATGAGTTCCAAGGATCCCGGCGGCAGTAGCAACTGCACTTCACGAAGTTCCTTGTCAACACCAGTACGGTGGAGTTCTTCGAAGGAGAGTCCACGAAGAAAAGCTTCCGACACATCGGCAGATTTGAGTGGCCATCCTTGCTGCACGGCAATGGCCAACAACAGCCTCTGACCCCATCGGGTGGTAGTAGAAGCATAACTCTCCACAGTTTGAGTGTCCCTAAAACCTTGCACTACTAACCTAGCTTTCACGTCACGCTCCCCTTGGATGTTCTTCCACTTCAAAACCCACTTACTCTGGAGAGCATTGCGCGCTGAAGCCTTCGATCCTCGACGCCATGCTTTGTGACCATTCCACCGAAGCAACTCCTTAACCATTGCACGCCTGCAGCGATCAACATTTTCCAAAGCTTCTTGCCTAGTCAAGATGTTATTAGCTCTTTCAATGACGGATTCTACTTCTCCCGACATATTCAAGACAAGAGTTTCGTTGGACTCCAACTGTCGATCAAAAGCGGTAAGGTACTTAGCTGCCTGTCGTGAAAACTCCAGCTTCAAAGCCTCCTCCTTCAGTTCTCCGGCAGTGAAAACCAAAGAAGGCTCAACAGCTGAGTCTACACAGACTTCTGGAGGTCTGCTGGCGAAAGCAAAGAGGTCGCTGTTGTCTTCAACACCTTCATCCATGCCATCAGGTGCATCCTCTGAATGTCGTTCCGACGTTTCAGTGATACCATCAGGAGTACTGATGTCGAAGACTTCTGGACCAGTCTGATCCGTGCCAGCACTGTCTGTGATTGCACGAACTTGCTGTCGTCGAATCACGGCTTCGTTCACTTCAGACAATCTCGGCAAGGCGGGATCATGGATTCCGCCCACATTGGGAATGTCGTGTACCACTCGACGAAGACTGAGAACTGTCTCTGAGTCTTCACAAAAGAACTGTAGAAAACACAAGTCTTTCCCTTCTACATCACTAAGACGCGAGAAATTCACCGATTGTGTGCCAGGAATATACATATGATTCCAAACTGCAGCTTGCCCTTTTGGCCACCAGATGAGAAAGGACTCATCACACTGCACCCCTGTCAACGTGCTCAAACCGTTTCCAAGACGAAAAGATACGACTCCGGACAACTGAAGATTACAGGCTGCGAGGTGTAGTCCTGCCACCAGCGCGTCGGGAAACTTTGAGTTCTCGGCAAAACTACGCCATACTTTCTGTTGTCGAAACCATCCTAGTCTCACGGATTGTTTGTTCAAGGATTCTGCAGTGATTCTGATCAAGCCAGAAGGTGTGTTGTGCGGCTCATCGGATAGGAACGTTGCGAACATCAGTGCTCTACGGATGTCTTGTACCCGGCACAAAATGTATCGTCCCTGAAAAGTGATTCCTACCTGTCCTTGGTCTAACTGCTGCAAGTCTACCACTGTTGCCGGACCTGCCCATCCGGAGAGATCTTTGTTTGACGGTGCTCTAAAGAACTCAACCTGATCCCCTGCAGACAATTCCAAAAGCTCGCCACTCAGACGGCTCTTGGACTTGGCAGCTCGTTGGGTTTTGCTCTCGGCTGTAGCCTGCAGAATTGCACGCAATGCCTTTCCCCTCAAACGATCGGCATCCTTTGCCGCGACCTCTTCACCAAACTCTGGCGCGATCAAATCGTAGAGAGGTGGTGTACGACCAAGCACTGCTTCGTAAGGCGTAAAGTTGTTGATTCGGAGAAGAGCATTCTTTGCAAACACTGCCTCGGCAAGTATAGCAGAGAACGGAACTCGCAATCCATCCTCATGACTTTGCTCAAGCAGTAAGTGGACTTGTCGACGCAACAAGGCATTGTGTCGTTCAACAACAGATGCATGTGCATACTTAGCTTTGGGCACGTATTTAATGTCACGATGTGACATCCAAGCGCCACCAGCAACTCCACTCAACGCTCCCTCCTGGTCTGCAACTATTGTACTAGGCGGACCGAACAAAGAGACCCAGGCCTCCTGTAAGGCTGTCAGTATGTCGTTTGTTTCTCGGCTCGGTACGATCTTCGCCACTACAAAGCGAGTTGCCACATCTATCATGTGAAGGATCACGTGTTCACGAATGAACAACAAATCCACCTGAAGCTCGGCATTGAAGCAAGCTGGGAGATGTGAACTCGCCACCGACTTTGGGCCCGGTCGTGCCCACGTACGGCACACAGTACACGTGTCGGTTATCTGCGCAATCTTTTCTAAGACTTCCGCCGGAACACCGGCCGCAGACAACAGTGCGCGAAGACGCTGAGTCGAAGGATGATAAAACCGAACATGCAATTGCCTCAAAGCACGCCTTACCACCGCTTCTCTGCAACTCCGAAGCTGCTGCAAGGTGCGGCCTATGTCAAAGCGAGCCCAAGGGGCAACATCATCACCTTCACCTACCGGAGGCTCTGCTTCTTCGTTGGCCACTGGCACTGCAGCAGGTGCCGGCATAGCCGACGGTTCATCCGCCGTGTCAACTCCGACCGAAGCTCGAGCGGGGCGAGCGGCAGCTGACGCATTAGATGATCCTGCAACACGAGGTGCATCCGGCTCTGGTCTTGGTTCTGGCCCCTTTGAGGAACTCGACACATCACGCCTATCCCTACCATAAGGACCGTAACCACCTTCAGTAACCTGGGAAGATGCATCCCGCCTACGCAAACCAGTGCCGCTGCTGCCCGCTTCCGTCGCAGTCACTCGAGCCTGAGCCGTCGGCTCGCTGGCGGCTGGAACCCGAGGGTCGCGCGGCCTACTACCCTTGCGCTCACGTTGCAGACCTTCTTCTACTGTTCTAGCAGACTGCCATTGACAATCCGCATCAAGGGTATGACTCGCGTGCGTCCTCGGTTTACTTGCTTTGCAGCCTGGGCAATTCCAAACCTTGGGTTCTACATTGGGAAATTTACAATCGCCTACCCTAAGGTGAGTGGGATCATCCTTACGCTTATGCCATTTACATCCAGGACATTCAAGCTTAGAGGTGTCATCTGAAGGATACGCACTCTGTGTTCGGGCAACGAACTCTGATTCCCAGGCTATGTGGCACAGATCGGCTACTGCAGCAGTGAAATGCGCACACCGACGGACCGTCCAAAACCTGTTTGCACCAGGCTCGTTGCCAACCCGTCTCATCAGAGAGGCATCTGATGACAACAACATCTTGGCCTCACCCTTACTGACGTAGTACACCGTCGGCCAGGCATTCCAGATGGACGAATCAAGCAAAGTGCTTCCTTTTGGCTGCTCGATTGCCCAGTGTGCTCCGCGGTTACTTTGCCATGCTGCCGCATTCACACAAAATGCGACAACTGACGAGGTTGTTGCATGCGGGCACAAGAGGACCACACTGGGACTGACGGATCGAATCAGCTGAAATGCACTGTCATTTTGCGAGTTGTTGTAGGGATTGAATTGCACGACAAAGTCAAAGGGCTGCTTATGCGTACGGGTCATTCCTCTAAACGACAAGTACATACAATCTTCAACTCCGCCAAACAACTCAAGCATCGAAAACTCTGAATGTTTCAAGGGTCCGTTAAGGGTTGCAAAAGCCTGTTCAAGACTGCAAACTCCATTTCTACACAGCTCACGCCACGGCTTATCCACAGAAGATCCATGAATGCACAGACCAGGCCGGTGAACTGCATCATACATTTTATCCAAAACACTGGCTTCCACATGTGTGAAGTGTTTCTCGGAGTTGCTGCCCAAAAGCTTTGCATCCCAAGACACGCAATCGGTCACCGGAAAAATTGCAGAAAGATCCTCACCGCAGTCCTGATTTATCTGTTCCACATTCTGCAATCGCTTCTTGGGAGCACGGCCTGCCTCCTTTTCAAGCTTCAACCTGGCCTTCTGCCTAAGGGCTTGTTCTGTTGGAAAGAAAGCTGGCGCATCCCCTACAACCGACTGCTTCTCTACACGAGGCAATGGGAAACCTAAATCATCAAGCATCTGACGTTGCACGGAAGAAGTTTCTGGCAAGCCTCGGTTCGTGTAGAGCGACAAAGTAAAACGTTCTCCATTCCAAGGCAGAGTACTATGCACTCGCTCCGGCTCAAAATGAATGCATCGGTGCTTGCACGAAAGAACTCTACCCGGCATCTTCTCTGCACGATCGGAGATCATCCACTCTACATGTTTCTGACTATCTATTTCGTGGTCATACAACTGAACCCACAACTGTCCACCAGTATAATCTCCTAACCCGATAAGGTGGTTAAGGGTTCCCCGAAGATTGCCGTGATCCCAATGTGGCTGGAGTACCACATTGTGATTGACAGAGATGGAAGTCCATCCTCCTGCAGCCTTATGTTCAGATGCAAAACAATTGAGATACCGGCATACTTCAGGGATCTCCAAAGACAGTTGTGTAATGCCTACATCGGCACCATGCTTGTACAAACCAAGCACACTACATGATCCGCTTTCGCTGATGTTCACGGCTTGTCTACGGGTTGAGTGGCTTGAAGGGGGCATTAGGTTCAGGATCCGAAGACATGTCTTAAAAGAGTAATCCGAATCTAACCTAGCCCGCTTAGCATGCTCTTCAACCGTCTGTATCATTGCAGCCCTGCGGACCATGTACAAGTTTGCATGCGGTGCAGCGCTCAACTCAGCGAGGAGCGCATCGACTTCGCGGCCTTCTGATGTGATACATGTAGAATTAACAGTCATTGCGATGTCGTGGCGACTCTGCTCAATGTTTCGAACATGTGTCGCAATCCCAGCCTTCTCAGCTTTGAGACCACCATCAAGGTGTTCGTAGTGCGATGCAAGAGATCCTGCAAAAGGGCTCAAGGATAACGAATTCATACCGGCATTCTTGCTTGGGGATGTGCTTTCCGTCTGGGGCTTAGCTACTGCTGAAGATCTTTGGTTTCTTGACTCGGGTCGCCCGTGCGTGCGGTCAGGAACAAGTGGGAAACTTGCTCCATGTGGCTTCGGACCCGCCAAAGCCACCTGTACAATCGACCTAAGCACTTGCTCGTTCCGGCCGTGACGCTCGCTCTGGGAGAGCTGCTTCGAATGGATGTGCAAAGTTCCTGAAGGGCATTCACATTTGTAAGGTCCAGGCAGGTCTACATTGGTGGCAATTCTAATCACTGTGTCGCAGGCTTGGGCTTGCACACCCATGCGGCGCTCATGCCAGCACCAAGCATGATCGTAAACATGCAATCGCTGCGACAGCTCCTGCACGAACCTTAAAGACCAAACCATGCTACGGGCATTTGCCTCTAACACAACCAAACCACCCTTATCTATTTGCCTTTGTGCGATCTGAGAGAAATGAAGGGCTCGTTGGTTGTCGTGACGATTGCCTGAACCCGCAGCGGGACCTCCCAATCGGATCCACAAGATCCGAGGCGAATGCACTTCAAGCATGTTAAGAATCCTCCGAAGCTGTTCTTTCGAATGCAAATCACGACTGAAATGAACACTGCTAAGACCCAAAGACGATAAAATATTCTGTCGTACACTGACCTGATCACACATCACCCAGGCACTCGGCTTTCCTGCTGCAACATGCATTGGGTCTGACTCGCCCCTCGAGGCTAGTCACAGATTTCCGCCCATTCCAGAATTCGGCACACTGGAGCTGCTAGAGCTCGCCTTCGGGGCTTGATCGTGACTCGAACTGGCCTTATCCTTGGAACCCGGCTCCTTCACACTTACGCGCGAGGATATGAAGTCCAGCTTGCGTGATTCAGCGGACTTTGCACGCGGATGAACAGGCAATATGAGATGTCCACTGGGGCTGAGCTCGAGATCCAGCATCAACGTGCCGGGACTCTGCACGATCTCTAGACCACCAGGTCCGGGGATATACAACTTCTGATGCTGCATGTCCAACACAGCGTTGCAGTTTCGCAAGGATTTCAAGCCAAGCAGAGGTGGCAAATCGCTGTCGGGCACGACAGGGGAATTGAAGGTACCATCAATGTTGGACATGCCCGGTGCACGGATGCTAAACTCGACGCCGTGGCTGAGATCGGCCTGTTGCGATCCGTTCCCGACCCCCTGCACACTCAACGGCCGTTCAAGGGGTCTGATGGCAGGCTTGCATTTGACCTGTGAGGACAACAGCTTCATGGTTCGATCACCCACCAAATTGTCATGTGCTCCTGGGTCAACAAGCAATCCCACCTTGCCCTTGACACGAGTACGCTCATGATACACACCGGCTGATTGTCCAACAGATTCGCTGGCGCCAACATCCTCAGTTCCCGTCTCCCACCATGGGTACAACATCGTTTGCAATTGCAATGTCGTCCTACGCCTCTCCTGCTCTGAGTGCTCATTATTCGAAGGATTTGAAGGGCGAGAACTGGGGGGAGGATACTTTGGAGGCGGCGCCCCGCGAATCAGGGGCTGAACTGCTGGGACTTCTGACCGAGAGACCTGGCTTGCACTATCATCGGGATGGATCTGAGAGCTGGGAACTCTGCTAGATGCAGAGGCTGCACCAGGTTCCCACTCAGGAGGCCCTTGTCCTCGATTCTCGATGGAGGCTTGTCCACCAGAACGTTCCAACGATCTGCGACTGCTCAGCGCTGATGCCTGAGACAGTGCCTCAAGCTCTTGCTCGAGACCCGTGCGAACGCTGCTCTGACTCGCTGCGGACACAAAGTGTGCTGAGAAAGTAACTCCAGGAATGGAACGCACCTCTGCAGCATCTACACTACGTGTGGTGTTCAACATGGGAAATGACGAGGCAGGGATCGTGTGAAGTGCCAGGGACGCGGGTGGATGCTGCGCAAAGTGCGATCCGCTCTGTGCTACCATAGGACACTGTCGCCAAAGGTGTTGGTCGCTGTTGCACTTATGACACCTAAGTACTTCACCATTGCGACCCCTTGGATTGCCTTTACGAACACCTCCGCCTTTAGAACCACCTTTGCCCTTACCACCAGCAAAGCTCGACGCGGGAAGGAAGGCTGCATAGGTCTTGCCATACGGGGTTTTGCCTAACTTACCGAAGTTCTTAGGCTTAAACCCAAACTTACGAAACCTACGGGGCGGCCGTCCTGTGAAGCGTCGCCAGCGACGCTTGGCTTGGCGATACAAGTGGTAAAGCTCGGCAGCGATAGATGATGGATCGGACCTGCTCTCACCATCTACGGTTACTGCAGCAAAGACCTGAGCCTCAGTATCCATCTCACCTTCGTCCGTACTTGTGGCTGAGCTCAAGTCCTCATCTTCATGATAGATGCCACACTGCATGCACTGCGAGGAGTGGTTACCTAGCGGGTTGCTTGAACTACTGGGGCCTCCCATCATTGCTTGCAAACCGGCTTGTGCATCTACCTCAGCTTCGCTGTGACCGAAAGGACTGCTGCTACTTCCGAAACTGGGGTATGCGGTGCCATAGGCAGAATGTTCCTGATTATTGTCATTGGGGGTTCCAAATACCGGGAAATAGTATGAACCCGGATCGCCTGTGGCACCTTGTCGCCCCGTCGGACGTGACTCATAAAGATGTCCTTGCCTTCTAATGCGGCCCGTCAATTCCTGCAGTTCGTCTTCCTGTTGTGGTAACCTACCACCCAGTGGAGCTAGCAACCTGTCAACCAACTCCGCAGGAAGTGATAAAGCCCTCATCAAAAGCCAAGCCATTCCTGAAGCATTCATCTGAAGCCCGCCACGCAAAGCGGCTCTGTTCCGAAGCACGTCGTACCTAACCAAGAGTGCATCTATTCCCTCTCCAGGAAGCTTGGCAAAGTTCAAAAACTCGCTTACTGACCGCGTGCTTGCTTCTTGGTCCAAAGGAGCGTACCGCTGGGCTAAAGTGCGAACCAACAACATGAGCCCTGTTATGTGCTGGCCAGTCTGAGGGTCCACTACTCCATTCGATAATTGTTCGGGGGTCAGCTCCCGGACCAGTTCTTTTGCGCTACCGGTAACTTGGAGAGCAGCTATGGGACCTAGTCTCCTATGGTCAAGATCTGTCGCAGACGACCATAAAATCAAGTCACTGATCCAACTCCTAAGTGAGTAGCTGGACTGTCTCTCGCTACTCCAAGCCGGCGGCACTTTCAGCGTCGCGGTTCCTACATAAGGTGGCCCGGCGTCTCCCACGTGAGCGTGCTGACGGGGAGGTCCATGATCACGATGCTCGCGTGAGCCCGGCATCATTGCGATCAGAAAACCAGTGATTGCACCAAGAGTGCCTAGGATCTGTAGTCCTGGCAGTAGTCGTCCTCCAAGGCTTCGCTGCACTGGCTTTGATTCGTCAAGTCGTCTTCCAAACAAGCCACGTGCTGAATCATGTCCCCGAGGATTCGTTAAAGGCGCAAACCAGTGATTTTCATTCACAACGTCCAACTTGAAGAGAATAGCAACCATGATCTGGCACAAGTCGTGCTTTGAAGGAAACGGCATGCATGCCATTCCAAAGACTCTCAAGTTGCAATGCTCCTCCGAAACTGCAGTCTCACGCAGACCTCGGCCATCATCGGCCTTCTGTGCAAAGTGTGCAATTTCAGAAAGAACTCCCTTCACCTCAGCCCACGTCCAATTGTTGAAGTAAGCATCCGAGCTGTAAGAACCGGCGGAATGCGCTACCGTATCGGGCACTGCTGCCTGTGAAGTGAGCGCCTGAGCAGATGTAGTAACCCACGTAGTGGTGACAACCGTCTGCCCCGGATGGCCTGCTGTATCTCCAAACCTTCCAACACTGATGTTGTCATCCGACCGTTGGTCCAGCCCAACAACGTAGCATGTCAGAAAGAAGAGGAAGCACAGCAGGCAGAGCACTCGCATCGACAGGCAGCGGGAACTGGCTCGACCAGCCAGCTCCGCTACCAAATCGAAACACAGCACCCTGCCTGATGCACGTTCAAGAGGCGCCGAATCATGATAAAGCTCTATCTTACTTCTCAAGGCTCGAACTCCTTTTCTAGATGCTGCTGCTTGTCCAGTGCGCATAATGCTCAGTCTCTGCAACTACACAAGTGAATTCAGCCGGAATGACAAAAGTATGAAGCAACGGCTTGCACGGACCTGAAGGCCTAGATTCAACCTAAGTAAGTGAAAACTACCTCGAGGCTGCAGACGTCGCACGTGAACGGAGGTTCCTGGGCGTGCGGGACTTTCGACTTTTCCATGGTTGCGTCTTGTCTTGATGGCTATCGTACTTATGGTTTAGAGTTGGGCTTAGTTCGGGGTGGATTGGGATTTAAGGGTTTCAGATGGAGTGGGGCTTCAGGGTTCGGGGCTTCAGGGTTCAGGGCTTCAGGGTTTAGGGCTCCGGGGTTCAGCGTTTAGGATGGTTTAGGGTTCAGGGCTTAGGGTTCAGGGTTTAGGATGGTTTAGGGTTTAGGGTTTAGGATGGTTTAGGGTTCAGGGATGAGATCAAGGCATAAGGAGCCCAGTATCTGGGTTAAAGCTTCGGGACTTGTGGACGAGGGCCTGATCTGAATCGCTGGGTTTACCCATAGGCCCTGAAGTCGTTCCTTTTTGGGGTTCACATATGGGAGTTTCCGAATATAAGGGGTACCTTATTTTGGGGTCCTTATAATAAGGATCCTATTATTTAGGGTACTATATTAGGGTCCCCTATTTTCGGAAACCCCCATATAGAGTCCTATAAGGCAACCCCAGCAAGGAACTACTATGGGGCCTATGGGGAAAGCCTGAGGTGTGAAGGAATGCAGGGGTTCAGCGAGAAAGGCTTGCGGATTCAAGGTTTAGGCCTAGGATTGAGGCGTTTTGGGGACTGGGTCGTAGATGAGGAGCGGAGAGGTTTGGGCTTAGGGGGGTTGGGATGTAATGATTAGAATAAGGTTTTGGGTGAGCTGTCGAGGATCTTTAAACCTAAACCCTAAACCCTAAACCCTAAGATTCTTAAGTACCGGTGTAGAGGACGTTTTGAAAAAAACGCTACAGATTACAAGCTCCAAGTCGTATAAAACTGTTTTAACTTTTGACCTGGGCTATGGTTTAGGGCTTTAGGGGCTTTAGGGTTTAGGGTCTACGGGTTTTAGGGTTTGGGTGCAGGGTTTAGGGGCTTTAGGGCTCTAGGGTTTAGGATTTTAGGGTTTAGGGTTTAGGGCATCTCTACACCTCCCAACTCGAAAGTCCTCGCAAAGAGAAGCCTGAGAGAATAGACTGCGGCGTTGGTGGTCTTCCTGCAAACATCGCAGGGAGCCAAACGATGAATACTTTAATTTAACTAAGCATTCAAGGCCCTCTACAGTAGACCCTATAATTAAGGCATACCATGACTAACAACTAGTGGCCCCAAACAGTAGAAGTGAAGGGAATACCATGACTAACTACTCAGGCCCCCCAAACCCTAAACCCTAAACCCTAAACCCTAATACTCAAGACCTCCACGAGCCAAACTTCCAGGCGCGACGCTCTCCGAAGAAAAAGGCCCTCTGCCGATTACGAAGGACCTGGCTGGCTGAAAAAATCATCTAAGGGTTTAACGCAGGGGCCTGAATAATTAGAATAGGGTTTTGTGGGGGGGTCCTTATTTATGAGTGTTGTAGTTGGGTTTAGGGCTTAGATAAGCTCCTAAGGTGGGTTTTTCCGGCCTAAACAACTAAGTCAAGGTTGGCTCCACCGAAAAGTGTAGTGGGGCAGTAGAGGCGCAACTATGCTAAAGCAGTCCCGTCTCTTATCTTTGCAGCCAAGCTTGGTGAGGAGGCTCCTTGAACTCTCTGGGCTTCTTTTGGAAATCTTCGACATCTGCGCAAGGCCCGCAAGGCACCAAACTTGATCGGAACCCTGTGTTGCTGATAACACGTCAACCATCCCAGGAGTTATAGCACCTCACGTCATGCTTCAGCAGTGTTACAGAGTGTTCATGACGTGGCCAGTGTGGTGCGTAGGTCTTAACCAGAATCATCAGAACTCTGCCGAGGGATTTGGGAAGCTTCTGATCTCATCAGGGATCCTCTCAACCTCGCCTAGCTTTGCATCGGGGGTTCGGGGTTTAACGGTTTGGGGTTCTAAACCCTCAACCTGCTCAGGAATCACATGCCCAAGGACCGGCACGATGTCCCAGCCGAGAGCCAGGCGAATGGCCTCACAGCAATCTCCGAAAGAATCAGTGGGTGAAAAACAGATCTCTCAACTCTACCCATATAAGTACATATACATATATATTTTCATGTGTATATATATATATATGTGTGTGTGTAAATATATTCCACTCTTTCCACTCTTTCGGGCTTGGTGTCGTGTTTGACGCGGCCCTTTTCGGGCTTGCAGTTAATTAGAAAAGGTGAAACAGTGTCGCTGGGCTATCTTCCTGTCCTACCCACAGGGTAAGCCTTCCGACATGGGCCAGAGATCTGACATCATCAAGCTTTGAAAGGGCCTGAATGTCCGGTCCAAATCCGTCCGGTACTGTGAGACAGGCCCTGATCCCTCTGGACCACATTTGCAAGGCCATGCGGACGATCTCGCATTCGAGCTGGAATGAGAGGAGTGGGCGAATCCTTCCGTCAGCTGGCCAGACGCCGCTGTCTGGCGGTCTGAGGCCAACAGTGCTGAGGCAAAATCCACATTCCTCATCCTGGTCATCAAGGAATTCCAAGGAGAGGCCCTGTTCAAGTCTCGACAGGGACTCCTCATGCGGAAAGACCAGCGGGGACCCGGAGTGTACTGGTGCAGCTGGTGAATCCGACAACTCCCCGACGACGACCAAGACGTGATTCCGGGTCCAGTGACCGGGCCTGGGAAGTTGAACGGTATGAAGGGCAAGGGAAGAAAGTGACGAGGCGCCACTGCGAAAGGTGTCGCCCCTGTCTGGCCGGGCCTTGCGTTCGCGTAGCAACCATGCAGTAAGGTCGACAGAGCAGAGCCAGTCTAGCGCGTCTAGGATGCGGCGGTGGACAGCATCGGCGTAGGCGAACCTGCCCTGTTGCACACCTTTACTCCATGTCTCAAGGGTGACTCGTATGCGCTGCAGAGGGAGGCAGACTGAAGAAAATGAGAGGCGCAACCGTTCCCAGAAAGCATCGGTATCTATTTCGGATGCCTTTCCGTCAAAATCAAGATGGAGAAGACAATCCAAAACCTCAGCTGAAGGCCGTTGCAATTCATCGATGATAAAGTCGTCCCCAGCGGGTTGGGTAGGACCCGCTGCCTGCAGCGTGGGTGCGCAAAACAGGTGCTCCTTAGGAGCCTTACGGCTGCCAATCCCAGGCTCAGGTGTGACTCTCTGGGCCCTGCTCAAAAGCGCTCTGCGGCAAGCATTCGAATGTCTTACATGCCGGCACAGGCGAACATTCGTTGCGTAGTGTTTGAGACAATGCGCACACTGAGTCCCTGTGACGAGGGAGCGGACCTCGTCGGTTCTGCCGTGGCTCTTGAAGGCATGCACCGACCACGCACGTAAGTCCCGAAAGACCATTTGGCACGGTGCACAGATCTCTGTGGCGGTTGTCTCTATGGACAAGATTGCCTGTGGACCAGCGTTGAGACATCGAAGCTGCTTGGATAACAGGCCAAAGTGACGGTCGAGTTCAGCCTGTTTCCTCTCACCGAGCAGCGCCCGTGAGATAGCACGCCGGACTCTAGACTTCCATTTCCGCGGAGAGGAGCGGCACTCGGAAACCCAGGTGTCCCATGCATGAGGCCAAGAGCTGGCGTCAGTAGGTGCCCGAGTGTGTTCCCAGAGCCATTCGACAGAGGAGCGAACAAGTTGTAGCCAGTCTCTCTCCCAATGAGCAAGAGCCCAGATCTCCGGAACATCAAGTCGGATACAGGAAAGGAGGTACCGTAACCTAAAGGCATGCAGGTATGTAGCAGCCCGCGGGATCCCTGCCTTAGCGATGGCTTGGGACAGGCCCAAATGCCAGGCCGCTTCACACGTGTGCTCAGGGGACAGCATCTGGCACGCCATCTGACGCAGGACCGCATCTAGGGAGTCCAAGTGTTCTTGCGTAACTCGTGTCCATGTGCCGGAGCCGTGGAACATGACTGTGGATACAAGGCTGTCGAAGAGTGTCGCCTTGTCCCTTGGCGAAACCAGTGGCGACTGGAACACCTTCCGCCTGCGACGATTGAAGGCCTCCCATGCCTGGGAGCAGCGGAAGGCAATTTCGTGGCGCAGCCCACCATTGTGCTGCAAGAAACCGCCGAGATGACGATATACTGGCACAATCCTCAAACTGGCATCCGCCCACAAACGGCAGGACAAAGGAATTGCACCAGCTTTATCTCCGAAGATCTGGCGTCTGGTTTCCTTCGCCCCTTTGCCATGGAGCTGTATGATGGCCTCGGTTTTACCCTTAGAGAGGTTCGGAACAAGAGCTCGTTGCAGGCAGGCATCTATCAGTGAGGAGGCTCCAAAGTTGAGTGCTGTGACGAGAGTAGAAGCATCGGGACTCATCAAGAACATCGAAAGGTCATCCATCCAAGTCGCATCGGATAACCCAATACGCTGCTCCGGCTGGCAACCCTGCTGCACAGCGGCAACCTGGATGTTGTTGTGCATACTGGGGCACCACGGAATGTACGCGAGCAAGTCGGCCTTCTCGAGGGCATGACGCACTTGCTGAAGCACCTTTGCGAAAAGAAATGAGAAGACCAGGTCCGACAGCGAGTCCCCAGGCCGAGATCCTGTACGGGTGACAACGGTTTCCGGCTCGTCAGGAAGCCTAAACCATGTATCGTGGAGGGTCTCAGAGACCGCTCCCGCTGCCCACTCACTGGATCCTGCCTCTCGCACTAGAGAAGGGCCTCCTATAAAATCGCGCAACTCGTGCATGGTATTGCTGGGAAGCTGCACGGCAGCACATATGCGTGCGACTTCAGAGTCCGTCGGGTGATCTCCAGTGATGAGCGGGCGAATAATGCGATAGAACGCTTCCTGGAGATCGAGAAACAAAATGGCATGGGAGCTCTTGGCGGCCTGGCAACCGGACTGAAAGAGCCGCGCTGCGTGCGCTGGGATTGTCACCGGGTATTGGGGGAGACCCCCAACTTGCAAGGGAACAGTACTCCTCGAAAGAGGAGTGGTGCATCTGCTGCGGATCGCTTTGTGCAAAGACTTCCCCAGAACCGAGGACACTAGAATACCCCTATAAGAGCTGCAACATTGCTTGGGTCCCTTATGTTTCCATATGAAGTAAAGGGTTCCACCCTTGTGCTGGATAGGTTCACAAAGGCGGAAAGCAGACTTCAAAAGGAGCTGATAGGCAACCTTCGACATGTAGGGAGCTCCGTAGTGCAGCACTTCTCCAGGGATTCCATCAAGGCCATACGCTCTGTCAGTGCTCGAGGCCCGAAGCGCAGCCTCAAGTTCGCACAAACTCGGGACATCATTTGGGGAAATGGAGTAATCCGACAGGTCCCTAGCCTGTTGCCTGCGGTAACAGCCATGGACGAAGTCAACGGGGTCCTTGACATGCCCGTCCTCAATCGAGGAGAAATGTGATATCCATTTCTGCTTTGCCTCGAGATGTGTGGCGGCCAAGTTTCCGGGTGAGGTCTCGATGGCTGGGAGAGGGTTGGTGCCCTTCTGCTTACGCTTCGGTCCTCCGGTTAGTGTCTTGAGACGCTGAACAATGTCCCGTGTCGGGGCATTGACGGCCTGGACGGCAACTTCATGTAGGTACTTCTTCGTATCTTGCTTGATCATGGCGCGCAGGTTCGCACTGGTGGTGCGTAGGGCCGACAGGTGTCCGGGGAGATCTTTTAGGCACCTGAGCCATCGGCTCCAAAGCCCTGGACAGAGGGTCCCGAGACTACCCAAGCCCCTCCAGGTTTGCCATGCTCTTGCTAGAGAGAAATTGCGGCCGAATCCCGAGGCGGCATGGATCCGCTTCCTGAGCCATGCGCGCTGGTTGCGCAGTTGCCAAGTAGCCGGTTGAAGGTACGGCTTGTGCTGCCTCGCCCGTTGAGCTGGGAAGGCGACAGGGAGCAAGGTACGGAAATGGTGCTCGATACTCGCAGCGTGACGATGGACGTCTAACTGCCATGGTTGCTGCGGGAGTGAAGTGCAGATGAATCTCAACCTCTCACGACCTTCCGGCGTACCCATGGCTGTCGTGTCTACACGAGCACCTCTGCCTTGCCTAGAGGTGTGGAGAACAACATGGGAAACGGCCTGAGTGATAAGGGCGTAGTGGTCGACTCGACTTTGTCCCCACTCGAGCTCGTGTAGCACTCTGCTGTCGCCTGCAGCGACGGACCACGTCTCCGGTAGCGAGATGTAGTCGAGTCTGGAAGAAGTAGTACCGCCTGGTGACTGCCAGGTATCCGTTGGGCCCGGATGGCAACAGGAAAATGTGCTGGGGATCCATTGTCTGGCCTCGTCGAGGATTGTCCAAAAGACATGCGGTGGGGGAGTAGATGAGTGCCAGGTGAGGTCCCCAATCCTGTCTGCATGCGGGCGATGCAGATGTAGGTTAAAATCACCGAACAAAACTAACTGTGCATTTTGCCTGAGGCGTCCTATTAGCGCGCGGAAATCCTGCCACCATTTGTCGCGCTCCGGGGACGAATTGGTGGGTGCGTGGATGACTACGAACAAAATACGTACGCCCGCTCTTGCGAACCGCACGGCGAGGATCCTCGGGTCCCAATGGACAGCAACAAAGTCACTGACCTGGAAAGTCATATTGGTGCTAGGGTGCCGTATGAAGGGCTCAGTTCGTGAAAACCATAACTCAACCCCATACGAACCACGAGGGTCGCTCGCGCTGCAGAACCGGATGTGAGTCTTGGACTGGATGGTCTCATCACGCTGTGCCCTTGTTTCTTGGAGGGCGGCAATCCCGACCCCAAGTTCCGAAAACTGCTCCCGAAGAAGAGCGGCCCGTCCCTGGAACGGAATTGCAGGGGGGCCATCAACAGAGTGGGCCTCCCGAGGGTGTAGGGACTGAACGTTGACCGTGAGCAGGATGGCTGAGATGGTTGCCCATTGCTTACCAGGGTCCCCCTCAACAACCTTTGGTAGCCCCAGCATCTGTTCGCATTCTGGTCTGGTCGGAAGTCTAACCTCACTACCACCCCGATCTATAAAAGAGTCAGCAAGTTGCACCGGCCAGTCCTGAGGATGGCGCTGGGTGTCGAGGAGCAACCACAGCCATGGCATCCATCCCTGCTGCACAAAGCGGCAGATAGGGTGCGAAGACAGAACCTTGCCACTCGATTTCATGCTACAACATCTCTTGGCAAGGCGATCAGCAACTTCATTGCCAAGGTGACCAACATGAGATCGGATGTGTTGGACGGAAACACGTGATGACCCTCTCGCGGTTTGCAAGGCCTGCATGGCCGTTCGGCACAAGTAGGCAAGGTCATGCCCGCGGAACTGACCCATCAGCCCTTCGGAAAGGCCTATGGCTGTCGTGCAATCCGACAAAATGGTAGCATGGACGTCCACAGGGAGAGCAAGCAACCATGTTAGGCACCAAAATAGGGCTGACATTTCTCCCTCAATCGCCCCATGCGAGGAGGCCCCGAGGAAATTGTGGGCCCTCGGGTCCGTCTGTACTCGGTCACCAATCCAGCCGACTCGATACCAGCGTCCCTCACGTCTGGCAATGACATGGAAGGCCCACGAACTGGCCTCTCCGTCGTAGGATCCGTCAGTATGGATGACAACGGAATCACAGCTCTCAAGACCCTTTGTCTGATCCAACGGTGGGTGTCCCTTGCACCATTCATCGACAACATCGAATTCATGTGTAGGCAGCGGCCACAAGTCGTATGGGTCCCTGTGTACCAGCTGCGCAACATGATCCAGAGTGCAACCTACCCTCATGGTGACACCAGTCAGGTCAAAGGATCTAGCCTCCAAATGTGAATCAAGGCGTAAGGTGCGTACCTCAGGCTCGGCTGTGTGGCGATGTTCCTGTGCCGGAGCAAAGGCCCCAATCGCAAAGTGCTCATGGAGGGCCTCAACAAGAGTGCTCGAAAGGTAGAACGCTTCTGAGTCCGGTGACAGGATTGACTCCTCAAGCATAGTGGTCAAAGTGGCAATTTTGCACACATGAGTGTGCAGGTGAGCCGAGACCTCAGTTCTGGCATGAGCACGGGCAGGTGTAGGAAGGAGTCTGTGCTGGGGAATATGGTAGGGCTTCAGCTGCATAACAGGCAGTTCGATATCCCCACGAAGGCTACTGATGGGTGGTTGTGGGGGAAACTGCATTCCGGAGGCTCCTGTGGCAAGGAAACAGAACAGGAGTCCGCATGCCGCAAGTGTACGCCTAATGCTCTGAGGATGGCCAAGCAAAAGGATCCCACAGAGCGGGGGGAAGAAAAAGAGGTCGCATACAGCGAGACGTTGTCCGGGTACCTCCCCGATGGCGATGCATATGAGGGCGACGACGAGCCAAAAGAAGGCACTGAGCGCCCCGACAGAGTATTCCCCTCGGAGACTGGCAGTATTAACTGGCTGCTTAACACTGCATCCAAGTCCGCCTGAACCCCCAGTGGCCGTGTTTGCGGCTTTGCGGTGTCGGAAAACAGAGGTGCCCTGGGCTGTGCCATCCAGAATGGCTGTCTTATCTTCAGCAGCGTCAGGCCACTTGTACATCGACACTTCTTCATCGGTATGCAGACGGTTGGGATGTGTCCCGGTAGAGGGGGAAGCATCCTGCACAGCGCTACGCGGCAGTGATTGTGGTGCTTCTCCGCCGCCTGTTTGAGGGGCGGGCATCACTTCTCCTGTGCCACTGGCTACGGGGCCACTTGGGACGGAGTAGCCACCTGCGGTGCTAGACGCGGATGACCCGCGTTCAGCCCCGGGAGCAAAAATAAAGGCACGGTCCTCCTCGGGCAGAGCAACTGCATTCAAATAATTAGGTTGGAATTCGGCTCGTAGGACAGCTCCTGCTCTAACCCTGCGGAAGTGATTATCGTGGTCCTGCCCAGTTTCACCCCCGTAAATTCGGACATGGTGATGCGGCGGACACCTGCAGGCAAGTCGAACACACAGCTCCCGCACATTAACTCTGCCCTCCAATGCATAGCCCCAATCAATGCGAAGGAGGATGGGTCGTAAGTCGAGTGTGTACGGGACATTGCCTGCCGAGCCATCGGGGAAATCGGCAACCTCACAAGCAAGAAAAACATTGTGAAACAGCTGTCCCCTGCTAGCATGATCGGACACTGACGGCGAAGCAGGAACGAGAGTGAAGCTGCCCGATGTCAGGCCGATTTCGTTGGCGACAGTTGCACTGTCTAGTGCGAAGGCATCAGCTGGCACTGAAGCTGCGCGGCATGTACCACGGGTAAGGATAGAACCTATCCCAGTCTGGTCACCAGGCAGAACCGGGTTGCAGTTCCAATCACTGGTGATTTGCAAGAGGCTCCGGAGATCGATCGCCTGGGGAGCCTCTCCAGTCCGACAGATCGTGAAGAGGTCCCCTTCAGTCGGGTACACTGTCGTGCCTGGTGGGATGGCCCAAGGGACGTCCTTGACATACACACGCAGATCATGACTCCCGGGCAGGAAGCCCGCCAACACAAGCAGGTCGTCTCTGGTGCATCTCGGAGGAATGATGTTGGCAAAAATGCCACCAGGATGAACCCTGTTGTCCACTAGCACTGCGATTCCTGAATATGTCCAACGGGGCACCGCAATAACGCATGCTTGTTGCTGTAGCGGCTGTGGAAATACTGGGATTAGCCGAGGACTGCGCCTGTGCGCATCAGGGTGGCGCATGTTGGCGACCGTGTCCAAAGCTTCGGCAGGGCCACTTGCGGTTGGTAGCCTAGGCAACACAAGTTCTGGCCAATATTCTTGTGCGAAGACTAGGAAAGGCACCTCAACCTGTCCGTCGGCAACGAGAGCAGCGCCTGTAGGTCGGGCAGTCGCGTGTTCCTCCCGATGGTCAGGATGCCTCGGCGTTTCATGTTCGTCGATGCTGTCTGGACCTCCTTGTTCCGAGGCAGAGCTGGCAAGCTCACCTGTGCCCGGCAGTGCAGGTCTGTGTCCCTCTCCGCCAACTCTCGTAAAGCTCACTACGATGACCTGACCTGAATGGAGGTTCACAGTACCTTCTTCACTGATAGGCACATCAACTTGTACAACCCTACCTCTGGGCGCCTCCCTGCCTAGGCGGTTAAGAATGCTGCGGAAGGGCACTGGGTTGTGCCGGAATCCAACAGTCCTCCATCCCCGCTGGATCTGACGGCAGTCGAGGAGAGCAAGGGTATCATGGTACACATTGTCAGGAGGGCCCGCGTCCGCAACTGCAAAGATGTTCTGGCACCTAAACCCAAACAGATCAACATCATGTGGCGGGTTCCTGGCGACATGCACATTCATTGCCGTGACCGATAATCCAGCAGTGCGCGCCAAGTTGGCGCGGTGTTGCAAGGGCTGAAGGGGATCGTGTACGTGGAGGTGAAAGGAGTTCCCATGCACAACACAGCATAGATTGAGGCTCTCGGGCCCGAGTCGGAAAGGCTCAGCCGACCACGGTGCCCCTGAAAGAAGCACTTCGCCAAGAGTGGGCAACGGTGGCTGGTCGGCCCCTGCCGGAAGAAAGGAAATCAATGCTCCTGGAAATAAGTGGATAGGCATTGCCCCAGTGAGCGGAATTTCATCACTGCCAACATAAATCTCGACACTGGCATCCTGTGGAACCTGGGCAATGAGCAGGAGTTCATGCCGGGAAACATAGTCTGGGGAGTGCGTGGTGAACAACCTGCCGTCAAAAAGGACAAGGTTAAAGCAATGACCGTGTTGGTCTGCAGACCACAAGGGTCCCGCCAGGTACACTATGTTCCCCGGAATCGGTTGCGGGAGGACGTCTAACAAGGCCGGAAATGCAAATCGGTCGGTGGGCGTCCGCGCCTCGTTGACAAGCCTTCGGACTTCGTCAACGGTGGCAGGAATCCGAACAAGTATGGTCACATGCTCCGCAGCGTAGCCATCTTTGAGGATAATGCAACCGACAATGACAAGGCTCTCATCTTCTTCATCGAGGGAGTAGGTATCGTCGGTATGGTCGAGTGCGGGAGCTTCCTCAATCCAGTTAGGAACAAGGTCTCTGAGCCACCTTCCTCCTAAACTGAGGGTGAGCGCCCTAAGGCACGCGAGGTGGTTGTTGGCTGCCTGATTCTTGCCCTGCGGCTCTTGGAGGTACCTGACCTGTGCAGAGCATTCAAGTTTGCCATCAATGGTGCGGGCCCTGGGATGGGTGCCGGGATCCTGGACTACACACGAACTACTCCGCCGAGGGGTTAAGATACCATCAAACTTAGCACCCAGGTCAAATTCAGCGAGGGGAGCTTTGGGCAAACAGAATGCCTCACATAAGGTCCATACGGTCTTGAGCCCTTCCCGCAGGGAAGTGCATACCGTTCTGTGTAGCTGGACCGAAAATGGCCCAAGGTTGAGGCCAGTGTGACAGGGATGATGTGCGCAGTCACTGTCACCCGGAACTGAGCCAGATGTCATCTGGACTGTGCCAGTGCCCCTATCAGGACCATACCTGTCATCATGGGCGTCCGGGGGTATGGAAGGAGAGGGCCCCGGTGCCTGGGCTTGGCCCTCCTGTGTACCATGCTCCTCAGACGCAGCTTCATCACATTGCTCATTGCTGTCTGCGTCAAGTGATGCACAACTCTCATCGTCATCGGCATTCAAGCAGTAGCCAAAGATAAAGACGGTACCCTCGGGCGAATGCTCTACCCTTGATTGCGGGATGCGAGAGTAGACGATATGGTGCAATGGAGGTGGACGTAGGCCAAGCCAATCAGCAAAACCAAGAGGGTCATCGACGTCTTCAGTGTATATGAGAGCAAGCCCCTCGTTGGCTGGCCTGCCATCCAGGAAAAGGAGCCTTCCTTGTCTATCGGGCTGGTCCCGGATGGGGAAAACAGCGACGACCCCTCGGCAGTCGTACCCGCGCAAGCACACGTCATTGAGCTGTCCCTCCAAAGGGCGCACAAAGAGGACATCCTCCGGACACTTGTCAACCAGGTTGGCGAGTCGGGTGGCGAGGCTAGGCGTAGTCGGGGCACCGATATCAACAAGGGTATGCTGGCTATTGTGCAGAGCTACAACCAGATCCTCGGGAGAGCTGCGGGGAACCTGGGGTTCGGCGAGCCACGGGACGGGCCGACTGAAACGCGGCGCTAGAGACTCGAACCACTCCGGTGGCGTTTCCGAACCGCGAAACTGGAGAACCCACCCCTCCGAAACGAAGAAGTCCGCATCCTCGGGTTGCGGGTGCATTGCTCCAGCAACATATAATTGCCATGTCACTGCAAGGAATCGCTCAGCTTCCTGTCGGCATTGCCAGTAGGAAAGTGGGCTGGAGACAACTTTAGCAAAGATCGGTCCCCCAATATGGTGCAAGTCAAATAGAACTGTGCACCTGCCAACAGGCTTGTGCCATGTGGGGACAAGCAGGACGGAGCCAAAGTCACGGCCAATTTGTGGCTGCGTCGGCACAAGTCTGTCAAAGAAGGGGGGGAGCCTGTGTCCGAGTGAGTCCGCAAGGTCGCAGAGGACGTCTTCTTCCCGGCATGGCAATTCAACCTGATGATGCGTAATGACATCTTTGTATCCCGGTATGTGGATTTGGAAAGTGCAAAGCGTCCTCACAGTCTCAGAGGCTGACATGCATCCAACCTTGAGAGTCTCGGCCTCTCGATAAGAGGGATCCTGCAGTGTAACATGGGTTTCTGCGGCAATGGCGTTGATCCCTGTTACTGAATGAGCCGCAGTAGACCTGACACTTTCGGAGGGCATATCGCTCCCTTGCTCAAGATCCAGTGGGGCCACCTGGGTGTGCCTGTCCTCGTCACCGTTTGGGCGATCTCCGGCTCTCGGGGATCGGCTTCTGGGAAGACTCCCTGTTTCCGATCGAGGTGAGCGTGAGGGAGTGTGCGTACGGATCGAGGCATCCGACGAGCTGTCTGCGTTGGACATAGGAGCAGACGCAACGCTGGGAGCCTGATGGCTGTAGTCGCTTCCGGGTATTGCCTGGAAGGTTAAGACTTCACCCGGGACAACCTCAACGTAATAACCGTTAACAGGCTTGCCAATAACCTCAATATCAACCCCCGGTGGTAGCTCCTTGTCGAATGTCTGGAGCACAGTGGGGAGGTGAAGAAGGTTGGAATACAGTTGCCAACCGAAAGGCCTTACCCCAAGGGGCCTGAAGTCAAGGAACACAGAAATGCCCGTATCAGCAGGTGCCCCGGCGCCGACGATCGCGGGGGGCAGGTCAGTGAGCATTGCCAGACCCCAACAATTGCGCCCATGTAGGCACAAATCGGTGACAGGAGGGCAAGATGCAAAGACTAACTTGGTCTCCCCACGCAAACGGCCGGTGGCGTCGGCGGCAAGCTCATGCTGGCTTTCAACAGTGAGGTGCTCTCCCTCTATGAACCATCTCTTCGATTGATATAGCAGACAAAAACCGGTCTTGCTACCGGGAGGCTCCAAACACGTGGAGTCTCTCCATCGTCCAGGATCACTGAGGAGCCTGCCGGGGGAGGGGCCTTGTCGATGGATTCGATTCTCCTCGCAAACTGTCAGCAAGGTGCCATGTGTGAGGTGAAGTACCTCATCAACTGGGTGCGGAGAACGACTGGCGTCGACGAAAAGGTCAACAGCGAATGTACCCAGAGGTAGCATTGGAGCTATGAACCTTGCCCACTCGGAGAACCCAAGTCGTTCCGGAAGAGTAACAGCAAAGATGGCTCCCCCAGTCGGCTGGAGGTTGACAGTAACCGAAGCCTGTCCAAGACCATCAAGGGCACTGGGATGGGCAATAAAGGTTAGGAAGCCCGGGTAGGGTGTGGGATTAACCGGTGTGATGCCATCAAGGAGCTCAAGAGGGATCTTGACGGCCGCATCTCGAACTGCCAATGTGACTTCAGCGAGTGTCAACCCAATTGGGGCTTCAAGGTCTACAATACTTGTCTGATAGTGCGGTGCACAAACTGCTACCCCAAGAATCGACGACTGTCTATCAAGAGCCCTTGCTTCTGACGCTATCGAGATCACAGTGGGGGCAGGGCGTACAACATCGGCTTCAGGGTTCAGGTGTGGTTCAGGCAGGGTATCAGCAGCAATGGCAGTGACCACAGCCGGGTCAATGTGTTCCGGCATTGCCCATACACACGTCGGTATGTTGAGAAGGCAGTAGACATACCATATGGCCCATGTCGAAAAAGGCCAGAAGAGCCTCTTACGTCGGGGAGCACGCCCTACTTTCCAGGCAAGTACAGGCTCACAACCCCCAAGGTAGCCTATAGGCTTCACAATACAATGCCGTGAATGAGGAGAATATGATGGCTGTAGGTGCCTCGGGAACCAACTTCCGAGGTTCATACCTCGTAAAAGGATAAGGCTCAGTGAACAAAAGGTGGCAAACAACCCGAGAATGATGACTGATTGTGATTGCTCCTCAAACCAGCGGAGCCAAGCCCTCCGGCAGCAATGGCTTGGTAGAGACAGGGGTAACCGCTGCCAGTGCGTATTCCCCACTTCAATGTTCAGGTCCTGGCTCACCCAACGGACCGCCGAGAAAGATTCCACATCTGTCGGACAGCAACCCAGAGCCACCGATTTGCTTGTTTGGCCCCAACAGATGAAGAAAGGGTGCAAGGACTGAGTTAGCAGGCCTGTATGGATATTGGAGGACGCCCCTGAGCCACCGATGCGTCTCTTTGGCCCCAAACCAAACACAGGTCCTGCTGGCCCACAATCTATGGGGATGGGGGGGCCTAAACCAAAACTAGGGCGGGACACCCGATTCGCGGAAAACATCTCCTGAAGGGGCTCGATGAGCGGCGAGGTCCACTCCAGTCCGGCACAAACCAAGTGTCGGACGGAGCAGACAGAGGAAGACATACCCCCACCCGCAAGGACACTCCAAATTCCAAGGAAGTCTGAACGGGTCAGGGTCCGCGACTTGAAGCCGTATGAAGGTAAGTCCGCCACACAAATCCAAACGGAAAGGACGCATGGAATAAGATTCATGTGGCAAAGATCGAAGGCGGCGCGACAGGGCAGAGCCTGTACATGCTGTACATCCCAGCGAGGAAATTCAAAATCCCTATGGAAGATCCGAGCTAGGTCAGCATATATACACTGCCTCAGGGAAGCGCCCCCTCTGTTCTGAAGGGGAGCGTCAACAGCATCACAAGGGCAGCATTGACCAGGGGAAGCTCCCATCTTCAGGTGAGGACTTATCCACATCTCTCCTGAGAGACTCGGCTCCCTTAGCCTGCATGCCCAATTGATGTTGCGACGCTCCCGATTGTGTTGGGAGACGCTGGTCGCTACTCCAAGCCCAGGAAGCCTGGGGATTCCACATGGTCCGGGTCGTCCTCGACAAACTTGGTCGGAAGAACTCCGGCACTGGCGGTGGGTTCTGTCTCCTTGGCTTCGGCCAATGGAACCTCCACGCTGCCGAAAGCCCGGAGCGCGTTGCCCTCGCGCTGTCTGACCTCGTCCAGCTTGGATTGAAACCTGCCAGAGACGTCTGCTCTGGCCGGTGGTCGCATGGTGGCTTCTTTGATCCCCGGTCTCGGGGGCTCGATACTTGTAGGAAGACGGTTCTGGCTGGGGTCTCGTTGCCCGGGATGTCTGGTTTCCGGTGGCTGTCTGGTAGCCTTCGCCTCGACAGCCATAGACACTTCCACTCTTGGTCGGAGGCCGCTGGGTGAGTGGGCAGGATACGGCTCGGCGCGATGCGCACTCGGGGAAATCGCAGTATAGCCCTCTCCCCTCGGCGCAATCGGGCCGTTGTTGGCATCCGGACCCTTCTCCTGGAAGAGGTCCATGGGAAGTCCTGTGTCGCCCGGTGGACTCGTTGTAACCGGACTTGGGAGTCCGGGCGGCATCCCCAGCGCACCTTGCCTTCGCATTTCTCGCACAAGGAGTATCTCCTCCGGGCTGACGTCCACCGGTGTAGATTCGCCAACTAACCGGCGCCATTCCATGTCGTCCGCCATCAACATGTTCGCATCCAGGTTGAGTCCTGCAGCATCGGCAGCCTGGCTCATCTGCTCCTGAGCTTTCTCGCACATGGCCTTGGCCTGGGCAAGGTCCTCCTCGATCTTGGACATGGCGTTGTAGTGTCTCTCCTTCTCCGACTTGTACGATCGTTGCATATCGTGCTGATACTTTTCCCATTGCGCCAGCTTCTGCTTGCGATTCTCCTCCAAGCTGGCCTTCTTGTTGGTCATCCTCCTTGTCTGGTTGATCAGGGCCTGGAGGTCGTTGGCCAAAGCCCGGGTGGGCTCCCCTCTCTGTGCAGTCTGTACTGCTATCACTTGGGCCGCGGGCTTGCTGAGATCGACCCGCTCGGCATCGTACTTCGGGAACGCGTACGCCTCCCTGCCATGTCCGGCCTCCGTCCAGGGACCCTGCTGTCGCGAGGGCGACCACGCACCATGCCAGTAGTTCCATTTTTTGGAACTTCCAGCTTGACTTCCTCGTCCTCCTTCCTTGCGCCATCCTTTTCCCATAGGAGGAGGGGCTGCGTGGTGGTTGTAGACGCGTCGTAGATCTCGTAGCCTGGGCCCCGTCCCTAGGGCCTTGGCAGCTTTTAGGCGATGCCTTGCCTTTGAGCGGCGACGCCTGGCAGTGCGGTGCCACGTAGGGCTCCGTGGATGGCCAACTGCTATGGCTGCCCTGCGAGTCGTGTGCTTTGCACACTGGGGTTCTAAGCAATCCTCCGCTGCTGGAGGTCTTCTTGAACCCTGTGTAAATATATATATATATATATTATATATATATATATATATATATATTTACATACATACAATTAGTGATTCACTTGTTCATGTTTTAACGCATGTATTCATTTTGCTTATCGACAACTGTATGTGTATGTGTGAACCTAATTAATTATCTGTGCTGCATGTAGCTACCCTGCACCTTAAACCCCAAAACGTAGGTCCAGTAATGTTGCTAATGGCCTTGCCTTGGAGTCAGGCTAGGCCTCAATCCTAAAGAATTCCGTGAGTTCCGTGTGCCTAGACTGTTACACCTGACATGCTTCAGAGCCAAATATAGGGGCCCTAATAACTTGAATAGTATACTATACTCTAGTTTTAACAAGGATTCCCCGAAACCCTATTCTAATTATTAACGCCTCTCCCAAAGTGCCCCCAACAGTTTCTTCTTTAGTCTTTAGGGTAGCGAGCTCCCTAGGCAGCAACCCCGTTCGTACATTTCCTCAAACTGACGCGCCGCAAACCTAAACTAAACGAACATGCCCTAAACCCTAAACCCTAAACCCTAAAAAATGAACCCTAAACCCTAAACCGGGATTCCTGCAGCCAAGCCTATTCCCGCCTGCATCCTCTTAAGGGGCCACAACTACATCAGGGAGCCAAGAAAGACTCCCTACCAGATCTATCTTCAGAGAATGTCAGGGCTGACTCAGAATCCGAAGCCGTAAAAACCCGACGATTCGGGAAGTGGGGTGGCAGCAAAGCCAAACTTGAAGACAGGAGCTACTGGAGCCCTCATCCGAGATACACCATGGAACCCTCTCCATGAGACCTCACCTTACCCCTAAACCCTAAACCCTAAACCCTAAACTCAAGGCCTCTGAACCCAAACCCCCACAGCCTAGATGCTGAATCCTAAACTTCAACCTCAAGTTCCAAACCCCACACCTAAACCCTGCACCCTACACCCTAAGCCCTGAACCCCTGAACCAAAAACCCGAAACCCGGAAGCCTGAACCCTAAACCCGAAAACCTCACTCACTGCAACATGAACTCAGCAAGAAAAACAGACACCCTACACCCTAAACCCTAAACCCCACCCCTAAACCTTAAACCTTAAACCCTAAATCTTAAACCCGAAACCTTAAACCCCAAACCACCTTAAACTCTAAACCTTAAACCCTAAACCCTAAACGTTAAACCCTGAACCCGAAACCCTAAACCCTAAACCGTAAACCCTAAACCCTAAACCCTAAACCCCGGAGCGCCCATGGCCACGACCTCCAGTCTCCTCCGATTCTCGCCGAAGTCGGGGGATCCTAAGGAAGGGAAGTCGAGTGAATATAGGGTTTAGGGTTTAGGGTTTTAGGGTTTTGGGGGTTTCGGGTTTAGGGGTTTAGGGTTTAGGGGCGCTTCGAGGTTAATATAGGGGCCTGCATAGTTAGAACAGGGTTTTAGGGCTTAGGGTTTGGGGCCTTCGTAGCTAGAAAAATAGGATTTAAGGTTTCGGGCTGTAGGGGTTTGAGGGTATTAGATGGTTTTAGGGTTTAGGGTTTGGGGCCTTCGTCATAGTTAGAAAGATAGGATTTAGGGCTTTTAGGGTTTAGGACTTGGGGCCTTCATTGTTAGAACAGGGTTTAGGGATTAGCGTCTAGGGTTTAGGGTTTTAGGTTTTAGGGTTTTAGGGGCCCTCATCTTAGAGTAGGGTTTCGGGGCCCAATATACCTTAATTACAATAAGGAACCCCCACAAAGAGTACTGGTAACCCTGAACCCTAAACCCAAAATCCTAAACCCTAAACCCCACACCCTAAACCCTGAAACCTTAGACCCTAAACCCGAAAACCCTAAACCCTCATAAGTTGAAACAGCTCTATGCGAGTTGGAGCTCGTATGTAATCTGTAGCGGCTTCTTTTAAAAGGTCCTCTATATACCGGTACTTAAAATCTTAAGGTTTAGGGTTTAGGGTTTAGGGTTCGAATCCGGGGGCCCCCAGATACGATTTGGGTTTAAGGGTTCGGGGTTCTGCGGTTTAGGTCTTGGGTGTCAAAGTTGGAGGATCTATGGTCTGCGGTTGTCCTTCGTATCATGGTTTAGTGCTTATAAGCACTAAACCCTAAACCCCTAAACCCTAAACCCTATAGGGTTTGGGGCCCCCAGATACAGTTTGGGATTAGAGCAGCTTGGGGTCATATGTGGGCGCCTTTAGGGTTTTAGGGTTTGGGGTTCCCAAATTGCAACCCTAAACCCTCAACCCAAATTTCGGCTTCTCCCGAAACACATGACAATCCGATAACCAGAGGAGGAAGTAGAAGCACTTCATGAGGTTCCGGGACTAGTTCGCAAATCTTGCCGAGCTCTAGCCCTATTAGCGCGTGGAACTTTAAGTTATAGTATAGAACGTAGCGTTTATGGCTTGGCATTCAGGGTCAAGTTGGGGAGTTAAACTATTCTGAACAAGCAACATGCTGCCTGATCGCCGCTCCGCGCGGAACTGCAGAATCAGATCGTCCGGAGTGAAGTACCTACTTTCGCGTACGTGGAGGCTAAGGGGACTCAGCATCGAGTTTGCCAGTCGAACGAACATGCGGTAATCTTGAAATTCACCACGAAAAGGGCAGCACTAGCAGCTACCATCGACTGCGAGCCAACGGCATGCAGGGAAACCTGCAAACCCTTAACCTAAACCCTAAACCCCTAAAGCCAATCAGTCATTTACCTCAGAGTGCAGCCCTGGCTAACGGATACCGAGCCTACTACTTTCTTGGGGAAGGGAGAGGGTTTCAGGTCTTGTCTGACTTCTGGGCCCATATGTGCAAATCTTGCTGCGGGATGAGTTGCGAAGAGCGGGCAAACCGGAGGGGTAGTGAGACACGTTGAGCGACTTCATACATACTGCATGCTGTCGGCTGTCGAAGTCTGCACATGATAGCCTAAATCCTGAAACCCTAGATTTCCTGGAATCGTGGACCCTAGCCCGCAGAGAGACCCGAAGTTGATCGTGAACACACCACCCTCTACCCAGAGGCCCTAAAGTAGTTCCGTTTTGGGGTTCATATATAGAATCCTAGAAGGTAACCCCAAATAGGAACTACTATGGGGCCTATTGGTAAACGGTACTTTTGCAAGAAACTCAATCTCAAAGACGAACAGTCCCCATGTCAATCAGGGTACCACTCTACGTCGTCAGCATCCTTTCCAAGCACCGGTACGTCGACAAGGAATTCAGCTCCTGGGCTTTCAAGAAATGCTTTAGGGTTTAGGGTTTAGGGTTTGGGGTTCAGGGTCAAGACATCGCCTTATAAGGAGCTTGGAGTGTAAGGGTTTACTATAGGGTGAGAGCAACGTGCTACGAATGTGGGTGCCCGGAGTTTGTACGCCGGCACACACGTACATGACAAGTGTGCAGCGGTACACCTGTTCGTTTGCATGTAACATCTTGGAACTCGGGTGGTAGGTAGGTAGGTAGGTAGG